TGAATGAATATGGTGTTCATTGATAAATTTAATTTGCAGCATTCTAGATCTAAATCCACTTGACTAAGTATATTGATTTTAGGCCATTAGAAGTAAATGTCTCAGCTTTCAATTAATTATAGATAATCTTTAAATTTTATCAGTTTTTTTTTATTTTCAATATATTTTACAAAAAAATAAAATTTTCTAAAAGAAGAATTACCTTACCTTCTATGCATAGGATTGCATACCTGAAAGTTTGTCTCAGTTTTAACATAGAAAATTAGGCATTTTAAAATGTTTAATTATTAAAATTTTATTTAAGTCTATTACTTTAATAAATGAGTTTGTCAATATTTTTAATCCTTCTAGGCTTTATTGATGCTTAAAATAAATGGTAAATAATCGATAGTTTTTTATACTCAAATTAAGTATTTAGCTCCTCTACAAGCTATTTTACCTTACCCTCTTCAACAACTTTAGCTTAGTTTATTACGTGCACTACACCTGCAACAAGTTATATAACTTTAAATACCACCAATCCTTCTGTTGAGAGTAAATATTGGAACTATTACAAAAGTGGAACTTTTATTGTCTTTGATTTATTTTTTTAGGGTACATGGGAAAACCAAGCCGTAATTTTTTCAATAGATATATTTTCATACTCATTTTACTACACTTCCCCTACAACATATCCAATCAAAAGTGAATTTTGTGATAATCTAGCTACTGATTTCAGAACTATAAATTTTACATTAACAATATCTACATCAGAAAAAATGAAATTCACTTCAACAGGTTAAGGTGATGCATAAGTTTCAATTAAGAATATTTACATTTTAAGAATTAAATGCTGCCCATCATGTAGTCAATGTACAGGCTCACAATTTAACGAATGCACCCAATGTTATTATGGAAATCCTACTAATAATATTTGTCCTACTTGTCCATCAAATTAATATTATATGAGGTTTTGGGGATGTAAAAATATTTGTGACATGTATTCTCCAATATATTAAGATGGATTCTGCTAAAATTATCCAAGTATTTATTTTGAATCAAATATATTAGTTAGCTTAATAGAATATGATTATGCTTATATTAGATCTTCTGGTAATTTGAACTGGTCACCTATATATGATCCGTTAAATATTGATATCTCTCCAACATTCTAATATGCTGTTGGGGAATTTTATGGGATATTTAAATTTAATTCTGGTTTCTTCTATTTTTTCAATAAAATATCTAACTATACTTTTGCAACTTATCTAATTGGATTGGAAGTTGTAATTAAGACATTTAATGATATTCCGTTAAATTGTGGGATATAATTTAAGATTAATAATACTTATTATGGATCAATTTATAAAAATGATTAAGGGATTCAAACACATAAATTTAAAATCTATGAAATATTTAATTATGGTTATTAATAATCTTATTCCTCAATCAAAGATTATCAATTAATTACTTATTTAGACATCCCTTAATTACCAATATTATTTTCAGCTATTGGAAATTATAGGTAAATATAAATTTATTAGATTAGTGATAACACAGCAGGATGGGGTATTTATTCAGTTCATATAACTTCAGGATATTGTTCTCAATTTTGTTTAATATGTGAAGTATCGTTTAAATGTAAAACTTGTGCTAATGGATTTTACTAATTTAGAGATGGTAGTTGCATAGACGGTTGTTCAAATTCTTACTAGAAATTAAATGGATCTTATTGTTAAGATTATGATGATGAAACACCATGTAAATCATTTCTCGTAATATAGATTCTAAATATTTAATAGAAGAATATACAAATGAAGTCACTAATCCTGAATAGTATGCATAATATAATTTACTATCTGCAAATGGAACAAATTTTTTAAAAGGATCAGATATATATTATTCATATTGGTAATCCTATAGAGTTTTTGGAGGGCCTTTTGTATGGGCTTAAGCTAAATTCTAGAGAATTCATAATATAGTTAATCCGCATCACAGTATCACAATTGGATTTTACATTATTTATGGACCATAATTTCCATCTGATGGAAGATTTATATATACAATTGAAAATAATGAACCAGTTTCTAAATCAAAAACAAATAATTTGCCATCTTATCTTGATGGATCTAAATAAGATAAAGTATATGAAAGAATATCTCACAATACAAATACTTTAATGCTGACTTGGGAATGTTTTGGAGTAAACAATGAACCAATACATGCTTATTGTGGATTTCATAATTATTACATTGCTGTTCATTATTGCTAACCTTATTGTTTATAATGTTAAGATCAAAATACATGCACATCATGGAACACTACTTATAATGCAGCTATTGTAAGATTTTCTTAATCTGAATGTTAAATTAATCACTATTTTGACAGAGATTCATTTAGATGTTTATAGTGCCTTTAGCCTTGTTTAACATGCACATCTAAAATAGATTGTTTAACATGTTAATCTACTTATACTTTAACTAGAATAGGATGTGTTTGTTTAATGAATTAATATGAAGATTAAAATCAGTGTTTTGATTGCCCAATTGAATGTAATTAATGTCTAAGTCCTACATTATGTCTAGAGTGTTTAATTAAAAATAATAGATAATTAGTGAATGGATAATGTAATTGTATAAATGGATATTATCCAATTGTATCAAATCCTTAATGTTAATAATGCCATAAATTTTGTAAGACTTGTACTGGACCTAAATCAAGTGAATGTTTAACATGCGCTAATATTATTAACATTTAATAGATGGGATCAACATGTAGTTGCCCATCAGGATTTAATTACTAAGATTTAATAAAAACGTGTTCTTTATGTCATTATTCCTGTTTAACTTGTTTTAGATTAACAATTGATGGTTGTTTAACATGCAATCCTACTCAAAATAGAATATTAAAAGGATTAAAATGTGAATGTGCACCTGGATATTATGAATTAAATAATGTTTGTACAAGTATTTATAATCTTAATAATCATAGATTGTCCAACTTAAGTAGATGTATCTTTAATTCAATGTTATAAATAATGTAATAATAATTAATAAATATGGCATACAAATATCTGTAATACTTGTGATTCTGGATATCAATTAGTATCTGGTGAATGCAGACCTATTTGTGGAGATTCACAAGTAAAAGGATATGAATAATGTGAAGATGGCAATAATATTTTAGATGATTTATGCTATAATTGTTAATTTTAATGTCCAGTTTAATGTTAAATATGTGATTAATCAACTACATTACCATGCCCAGATGTTTGCGGAGATGGAGTAATTACAGGAATTGAATAATGTGAAGATGGAAACAATATCCAGTATGATGGCTGCTTTAATTGCTAATATTAATGTTAACTTGCATGCAGTAAATGTATAAAAGGAGAATGCTTTGAATGTGCAACTCCAGGATGGTTTGTTGATCCATTAGTTATTCCTTGGTAATGCTAAGAAAAATGTGGAGACGGACTTATAGTTGGTAGTGAATAATGCGAAGATGATAATTCAGATGATACAGATGGATGCAAGGATTGTAAGTATTATTGTAGGATTGGTTGCTCTTCTTGTGATTATACTAATAATATTTGTTTAAGTTGTGAATCACCTGCCTTTGTTCCATATTCTTATTATTGTAAAAATATTTGTGGAGATGGTTTAGTTGCAAATGATCCTTCTGGATTCTATTCAGAAGAATGTGATGATGGTAATACAATTGATGCTGATGGTTGTAATACTTTTTGTAAATTTTAATGTCAACCATCTTCAATCTGTACTTCATGTGTAAATAATAGATGTGAACTTTGTGCTTCTGAATATTTTCTATCGAATAATTAAATATGTATTCCAATTTGTGGAGATTCAATATAAGTACCTGGTGAATCATGTGAAGATGGATTAATATTGCCTTACAAAGGTTGTTAAAATTGCTAACCAAGATGTTAAACTTCATGTCTTAATTGCTCTACTAGTGGACTTGGTTGTAATTAATGTAAAATAGGTTATAATAAAATTAATTATTTATGTTATTCAGTCTGTGGTGATAAGATTGTGACAGATGATGAATAATGTGATGATGGCAATCTGATTTTAGGAGATGGTTGTCATTTTTGTTAGTTTAGTTGTTAGGATTCATGTCTTAATTGCATTAAAGGATTCTGTTATGATTGTTTAGACGGTTACGTTTATAGTAACTTTTACAATAATTGTCTTCCATTCTGTGGAGATGGAATTATTCTAGAAAATGAATAATGTGATGATAATAACTAAATAAAATATGATGGATGTTTTAATTGCTAATTTTAATGTCATGAAATGTGTAATGTTTGTTAAGATGGAAATTGTATGTCATGTATTTCTAATTATTAATTAATTGATAATAAATGTATTGTTATTTAAGAAGTTAAGGAAGATCAATACTTATTTGAAGATGATAAAAATGATAAAGATGAAAACTACACATCCCTTCAGAATAATCAAGATTCTAATAACTTGTTTGACAGTGTATGTAGAAATAATGAATGTGTATATTCCCCAAAACCCTAAATGCAACTTTCTTATACTAATTATAATTTTAACATCTAGTAGATACTTATTAATTTTGATTAAAAAGTTAAACTCATAAATTAACAGACAATCTAAATGGGATTATTTAATACAGTTAAATTAATCTTGATATCTAGATTATTAGAATTTTATAATTTAAATTAATTTTAATAATCATTTAATATTTTTTAACAACTGTTGTTTCTTTCAGTTATCTATTTATCAAAAATATACGAATTTATAAATTTCATAAAGTAGGTGAAATTTTTTTAAAGTTCTCTAACCAGTTTTATTACGATAGAGGATTTAGATGTTGCCAATTATAATATCAAACTTTAATCAATTTAAGATTTTTCTTATGATTTAGAGCAAGTTTAATATGAAGTTGCTGTCGAAATATTGATACCTCTTTAAAATAAACCTAATCTTATTGTTTCATTAATTTAAGATGTAGTTAATTCTAATAATTAAACAATCAACAACACTTAATAATCAATTAAACTTAGATTACCTTAAATTCTTTCAGAAGAAATGAGACTATATTTTATTTCAACTAAAAAATCGAACATTGCATTTCTGATTGGTACTATTTCAATCGGTTTTATATCCTTATTATCTGGAGAAAGCTCTGTATTTTTAGAAATACTTAGTATCCTTCAATATTAATCTTTTTTTAGATATATTAACGTTGAATATCCAGAAAACCTTTACATTTATTTTTAAGCATAAGAAATTCTATCAATCAATTCTTACTTAAAAGTTACCTAATTTGATGACTATGTAGATTTAATCACTTAGAGAGAAAAAAATAATATAGGATTAGATGGAAAGCTTTCACAATACGATGTAGAAGCCGATCTCTTTACTAATATTTTTCCATAGGCTATTTAATTTTTAGCATTAATACTATTAATTACTCTTTCAAAAAGTTTATATAATTTTATTTTTTCATTGTTTTCCAATTGGAAGTTAATTCTTTGGAATCTATCTAAATAAAATAATTATGCAATAAAATTGATTATTTTACTTTCCTAATTAGAAAATAGTGTTAAGAAATTAATCTACGTTAGATTTGTTAATAGTTATAATTTATTAAGCTCCCTTATATATATGAATTCATGGGATTTAATCTATTCAGTCATTTTATAGACTAAATACAATAAAATTAATAATTTTAGAGATGTAATTTCAACTACTTTTGCTTACATAGTATTGCTCTACTATTTAGTTTACATAATATAATCTTTAAAGAAATGTTATAATCAAATGTACAAAAATAGATCAGAAATATCCTAAATAAAATTTTAAAATTTTGAAATATGCAGAACAATATTTTTTCATATTATATTAATTCTTTTCCAAAAGTAACAAATCCTATAATCTTTGTTGTTGTTTATCAGCAGCTTAAACTAACTTTACTTGATTTATAGTTACAAATAATGTTCAAAAATCGATAAAATAATATCTTTATTAATAGAAGGGACACTATCTGTGTTTACATCATCATTGTTTTGTTATTTTGATGTTACATAATAATATATAACATATGATTTTAAATTGAAGGTTGGATTTATACATATCTATTTATTAATTTTTAGTATTGCCATAGTATTTTTAAGAAATTTAATTCAAAAAGCTTATTGGGCTTATAGACTCTTGTAAACAAAAAATAATGTTGAAAGAAAGAGTAGAATTTTATTTTTTTGAAATTTATAATAATATAGGATAATTCTTTCTAACTATTTTATAATTTTAATGATATCAAAGAGATTATGAAATTTTTCTTATGAATTGATACAAAGTTTTCAAATTTTGATTTTATGATTAAATTTTTATCTCATTATAATTAATAATTTCATCCTATTTATTCTGAAATAATCTACAATTAAGCTTTTTGATTTAAGATGAGTAAAAAGAATGATCCAAAATTATGCAAATAGTATGATGGTTATAATTTTTAATAGAAAATTAGTTTCCTTCAGTTAAATTGCTAAGACAATTAAGATTATATTTTAACTGTTGGTTAAAATCTTTATTAAAAATTTTGTTCGAGATCCTGCTATAAATTTAATAGTCATCTAAACTTAATAACTCAATAGGGGATTTGAGATTGTATTAAAAATAATTCATAACTTCGCTATAAATAAAATGTTTAATTTTTTCATAAGATTAGATAAGTTTTTTCATATTTTCAGAATTATATTATAGGTATGAAGTTGATAGATTTAAAATGAATGGTTGAATTTAATTAATTTAATCTTTTTCTTACCAAATTCATTTTATAATGTTATTTCTTTGTTTTATAATTTCGAATAATTTATGATGATGGATATTAAATAAATAATAGAAATAATTGCAATAAGTATTTTTCGCCTGATTATTTGCATTTTAACACCAGAAATGTTTAACTCTATGTATAATATATTAACTTCGAACTTAATTAGAAATAAAAGTTATTATAATTAAATTATTAAATAAATTTAATATATTATTATTATATTAAGTACTAGATCATATGATAATTATTATTCATGATGAATTCCAATATAATAAATTCTACAACTTTCTTCATAATATTTTGTATCTTTCAAATCTAGTATTAGAATTTGATATTATATTTAATACCACAGTAGTGTTCTTGTCGCGAGAGAAATTAGTTATAAATACAAAGTTTTATGATTTATCCTAAAGTGGTAGATATAAATTATAAGTGCAGATGAAAAATTATTTATTTACATTTTATTGTTATTTTGAAGATGAAAAATTTCAATATGGTTTTACTTGATGAAATAATAAACGGCTTTTTCTTTTTTATTTCTTTAGTACAAGGCTTTAATAAAGATGTGAGGTATGTCATTAACAATTACTGATGCTAATGCTTATTAATTTCAAGTTTTATTGATTTATATATTAGAAAAAATTAATCTAATTAGAGGATATTAGGTCATCTATACTATAAAAGGATAGATAAAAATCTAAATATCAACATAAAGGGTCGATTTTAAAAAGAATTTATTTTTTTTTTCATTGATATAATTTTATGTTTTGAATAACATGATCATCTTGTAAATTTCATTTGTGTTGAACAATCTTGCAAATTAACCAGATTATTTTGCATATAATGTCAAAAAGATGGAATTCATTAAAATCATTCTCAAAATTATTATGAATTACCAAAACTATTTGAATATGTCTAATAAGTAGGATAAGAATGTGACGATATTCTTGTAAAATTTAAATAATCCTTAAATTTATTGAAACATACTTTTTAAACATTGATTCAAGAAATCAAGAAAAAATATGAAATCCCAATTACAAAATTGATTTAATTGAATTTTTAGTAAATCTATGAGACATTAGAAGTATTAGAAAATTTTAAATCTTATAAATAATCAATTATATAATAAATTGATGAAAATCTGATTAAGTCAAATTAGAATATTGAAAGAATATGTTTAGACCTCAAATTAAATGAAAAGTTAATTTCTTTTTATTTATCTGAATCAGATATTTAGTAGTCTTAAGAACTATTTTAAAAAGGTAACATCGTCAATTAATAAATTAGGATATCAATTATATTAAGAAAATGATATGTATGATGAAGCAATAAAAATATTTGATCAAGCATTAAATATAAATCCAAATAATTAATTAGCAATATGGTGTAAAGGTATTTCTATTTTCAAAAATTTTATAGCTGCAAGCTTAAGGATGCTTGGTGAATATAATAAAGCTATATTCTGGGCTGATGAATCATTGGCCTTAAATCCTAATCATAATCTTTCATTATATTGTAAAGGTTTAATTTATAACGATTATAGCTGCAAGCTTAAGAATGCTTAATCAATATAATGAGTCAATTATTTGGGCAGATAAAGCAATAGCAATAGATCCTCAAGATTGTTTTGCTTTGTCCTGTAAAGGTAGTTTTCTATTAAAAATAAAAGGATCTTCACTAAGATTAATTTAAAGATATCATGAAGCGAATTAAGTTATTAACACTTCCTTAAATATTAATCCAAATCACTTTGATTCTTTAAAGGAAAAAGGTTTCATTATGATTTAATTATTTATTAGGAGCTTGTTTATAAGATTAAAATCAATATAAATAGGCAATTTTATTTTATCAAAAGGCTCTGAAATAAATACCTAATGATTAATGGATCACATCTAGATATGGTATTTATAATATTCTTTAAATAGATTAATGTTTATAAGCACTAAAGAATATAGGAAAGTGATTATTTATTACAAATTACATATTTATCAAACTAAAATTAGATAATAACTTTAAAATTTATTATTTCTCGACTTCTTAATAATAAATTATTAGAAATAGTAAACAGTTAAAGATTTAATCAAAATTTAGACATTCTATATATAATATTATTACTTATCATTTGATAGATTTGATCTTCATTTACTTATTTCTTATTCTTTCCATTATAAATTTTTAATAAGTAACTTTTTTATATTCATATATTAATAAACAAATAGCAATTATTTTGAGTAGTTGTTACTCGATCTTTTTGAATCTAGAAACAATTTTAACTTCAACTTATTATATAATACTAAACTAAGTATAAAACTATAATGTTTATATTTAACACAATTAAATACTAAAATCTTTTTTTTTCAAAGTTAATTTTTCAGTTTTTATTTATATAAGGTAAATTATTTTAATAACAATGGCTATTAATTAAAATACTTTCTTAATTTTGAAATATGTCTTATTCTTTTTGAGATATTTAATAATATATAGTATAATTTTATTAATTTCGAAATATTAAGAATATTCTATTTATTATTCCAAATGAGATGATTTATTGCTCTTTCTTATAATTCTCAATTTTAATTACAAGTAAGTTTAAATTATTTACTTTTTTATTATTTATTCAAAATTAATATCATTAAATCGTATAGACTTTAATTTTTTATAATTATTTCTTTAGTTTTAATATAATATTAGAAACTTAAATAACTCATGAATCATTTCTATATTTTCATATTTACTCAAAAATAATAAATTTACACATTTAAATTTAATTAAAATTATGTGTTTAATAAAAAAAATGTATTTTATTTTATTTAAAGCGAAATATTATTTTGAAAATTCTATGTTTAGTCATTTATATTTCAATTTTCAAATAAGAATGAAAGAATAATCTGACTATTTAAAATAAATGACATAAATTTTGTACATAAGGATTTTAATCAGTTAAATATTGATAATTTTATATGAATATTTTATAAAATATGTATTCTAATGTTTAATTTATTATTTTAGAACCGCTGATGTTTGCTCATTCAAAAATAATTCAATTAAACTTGCTGATTAATAGATAAAATTACTGATCATCGAAAATAATTTGAAGTATTTATTATTAATTTAAATCCTCTAAAATTAGAATTGCAATATTTTAGAAAAATTATTCAAAAAATTAAAAATTTTAAAAACGAGAAAACCTTGCAAAACTTGAAATTTATAAATTACCATAAAAATTATCTTATATTTAATAAGAACAAATAGATTGATATAAAACATTGGCTGTCTTTATGGTTTTAAGTTAAACTATTTAATTTTGTTGTTATAATCCTAATAATTTTTAATAAGTTAAAATAATTTTTTTAATAATAAATGGTTTTCATCTATTATTGTTTGCTGGTATGGAAAATTCAAATGCAAGAATTAATTGATTTAGAAAGTGAAAACTAAATTACAAGAGAGGCTTTTTCATTCTAAATTGAAGATTTTTCAGAAAATAGTTGCTTTACTTATGGAATATGGTCTAAATATTTACCATTAAGTGGAATTGGATATGGAGGAACTTTTGAAAATTAAGATAGTGATTGCTATTAGTTACATACAATTACAGAATAAAATTCATAGAGTCTAAATTTAATTTATTACGATTGTGTTGATCCTATTTCTAAAACTATAAAAAAGAAAGTTGAGTTTATAGGGGATGATGATATTCATTATGAATTTTAATTTTTCATTGATTCTTTTGAATATGAAAATATATGGTACTATTTTTAGATTTTTTAATGGCCAGTCTTATAAAGATTTGATTTAATTATAGTTTAATAATCATAAATAAAGATTCATAAAATATTGGAAAAATAAACACCTTTTATAGACATAGATATATTATTAACATTTGGAGGAGATATGAAAGTAACAAATTCTAAAATATCAAATATTAAAATTGATCAAATATTTTCATAATTTCCTGGTAAAATATTATTACAAGAATTTTAAATTTATGAATAAGATCCTCTTTTTGATTTTAAAACTATAATTTAAGAAAAATATGAAAGCTTAACAATTTGTAATTGCAATAGTGATTAAAATATTTTAAATAATATTGATATTGAATATTAAGAGATAGAATTTTATGATTCTTAAGAATTTAATTGTGATTCTTTTACTTTAATGAGTTGGATAAAAATAAAAGAGATTATTTAAAATTCTGATGGATTCACGTATACTCTTATAAAATTAGTATCTAATTTATAGAATGACGATTATTAAAATGATAATTTAGCTGCATTTTAATTGAAATATATTGTTAATGCAGATATATCTAAAATAATTGTTTAAACGTACAGTTACACTTTTCCTAGTCTAAGAATAGATTTTTCAGAAAATCCTTTTATATTATAGAAAATATTTGATGTATAAAAATTAACAAATTTTTGGCATCATATTTTAGTTATACTTTCAAATAATGAAATGGATGTATAAATAAATATTTTTGATGAATCAATAAATACTAAATTAAGTACAAAATTTTATGTAAAATAATTTATGAATATTAAATTTAAAGTTTATTATGGTAACATTAAAGAAATGAATATAAATTATTTAAAAGTTGAAATGAAGAATTTGATATTTGATAATTGCAATTAATTAATCAATGATTAAATTTGTCATTCAAGTTGTAAAGAATGTGATGGACCAACTGAAAATAATTGTTTATCATGTTTAGAATCATCATTTAGATTTTTAATACCTTAATATAAAGTTTGTATCTGTTAATTTTAGACAATAGAATAAGATGGAAAATGTTAAGGAATAAATGATATAAATGGTGAATTAATTATATTAGAAGAGAATAATATTGAATGTGAATAAGGATTTTTTGAAATTGAAGGAGAATGCTTAAAATGGTAATAATAAATTTTATTATTATTTATTAGTCCTTCTATTGTAGATGAAAATGGAATATCTTGTCTTAATTGTTATTTAAATCCTTCTGGATGGAGTAATAGTTTCTAATGTTCTAAATAAATTAATATTGATTAAACAACTTCATAAATAGATACAAAATATTATTCTAATATATATTCTTTTGATGGATAAGAATTAAATTATTGTCCATATTGTTTAGAAGAAGAATCATGGGATTTTCTAAATATATACAATTTATATTTATATCTTTTTAGAGAATTTTAATATTTTTGTTTTGGTAATAGAAAAACAGAAGATGAAGATAATATGGATTATTTTGAAATTGCAATGTCACATAAATGTAGTGATTGTGATTATTGTAATGAATGTATTATTACATCAACAGGATTTGAATGTATGGATGAAATATATTATACTTTTATAGAATAAACAGAAAATCTTACTATTTGTGATCCTCCATATTATTTAAATTTTGCAAAATAATGTATAAATTGTCCAATTGCTAATTGTATTTATTGTTTTGAATATCGTATAAATAATCCACTTATTAACACATTATTAGATTCTTTTGTTTAAATAGAATCATTATCAAATATTAAATTAGGTTGTGCAATATGTAATGATAATTTTATTTATGATTTTAATATTGGAGAATGTATTTTTTAAGTTTCATCAATACCTAATTGTCTTAGAGCATTTGTCTCATTAATGAATTAAGAAATATGTACATTATCTATAGGACCTGAATTTGATATATCTCCTGAAATTATTAATTGTCAATCTTATATAAATTAATGTTCGTAATGTTATAGAATGGATGAATTTGAAATAATATGCATAACCTGTAATTCTGGTTATGTATTTTATTAAAATGCTTGTTAATTATATGAAGAAATTGAATAAATTGATTATAAAGATTTTAATTGGACTTAAAGAGTTTAAAGTTTTAAATAATAATTTTAGCTTTCATTAGATGAAAATGTTTATTAACTTTTTAAATTTCATTCTTCTATTACAAATACTATAATTGATGTATGTGATTCAAAATGCAAATCTTGTATAATTAACTATGAAGAAGTTTGTCTTGATTGTGGTCTTAATTATTATAAATAATAAATTAAAACAATTATAGGTGAAAAATGTTCTGATTGTTCATAATTATGTAGAATATGTTTTGATAGATCAGATTAAGAAATTAAAGTAAATTGTAAATTTATAATAGACTATTAATTAACATTTTTTAATTGAAGATAATACAAAATTGTTAACTAAGAAATGTTATTTACCTTAGAATGATCCTAATATTAAATTAAATCCGTATACTTAAACTACTAAATATTGTTTAAATGGAATTTGTAACTATGCACTTGTATTTCAAAGAAAAGGTAAAGGATGTGAAGTATCAAGGTTTAATAAAATTTCTATTAATGATAATGATATAAGTTTTCTATTTCTTTAATATATGGGAATTGAAATTATATAATTTAAACTTTAATTATTCACTCCTATTTAATAAAATTGCATTTATTTAGGTGGATTATTAGCTTTTGTTGATGAAAAATCTAGATTATTTAATCTAAAAAGAATTAACATACTTATCTATACTTTATAATTTTTCAATATGTAATTCGATGTTGATGTAGAAACTAGTTAATTTGATTCTGTTTAATTCTAAAACTTAGGATTTATCTTTAAATCTGAAAGCACAGCTAGATTTTAATTTGATAATAAAAATTAAATATTTGATTTAACTTTTTTAGATTGTACTATTCAAGATAGTTATCTAAATAAATCTAAATCTGTTTTAAATACTTTACGATTTGGTAACATTAATTTTACTAATGTTACTATTTTAAATACTATTTTTGATAATACTTCTTTTCTAAATCTGCCATTATGGTAATTAGAAGGTAAAATAATAATTAACAAAATGCATTTTATAAATTGTACATTTTTTAATTCAAATGTTTTTATTATTGGAAACGATTCCTTTATTTTTACAATAAATAATCTAATAATAGAATTATGCTCATTTCAAAATTCATACTTTTTAAATTTAGTTGAAAATCTTAATATTGATAATTATCTCACTTTTTAAAGTTTAACTATTAAAAATAGCAATTTTACAAATTCCTATTTTTTGTTAAGTTTGTGTTAGGTAGAATTGAAAATAATTAACTTTTAATTTAATTCCAATAAAATACATTAATCAGTCATATTAGGAATAAATTATAATCTTTAATTTGAATACATAACAATTTAAGATAATTCATTTCAAAATTCTCAATTTTTATTAAAAAGCTAAAATATTCTACGAAAATAAGTATATTGTTCAATAAATCATTTATAAATAGACACTAATTCCTTTGATAACTCAAGTATCGTTACTATTTTTTCTACTTATTAATTAAATAATTTAATTGTTTCATTTAACAATTTTTTAATTGAAAATAACTTTAGATCTCATAAAACAAATTTATCATCATATATGTTTCTTATATATTCTAATTAATTGGATCTTAATAACATAAATGTATTTAACACAAATGATTTGCTTATTTTCTATTTTATAGATAATTACATTCTTATTATTAAAAATGTTATTTTTGAAAATAATGAAATATAAACAAAAGTTCCATTTTCTTTGATTTGTTTAGAAAGTTTTGATTAGAAAAATTAATTAATGTAAATTTTTGGTTTTGTAACTATTAATATTCATAATGTTAAAATAATAAATAAATAGAGTATTGATAAACCTATTATAGAGTTTATCTCTAGCAAATCCTTTTAAGATTACACTTAGAGAGAATTATCTATAAAAAATGTTTTGTTTAAAGGAAATAAGCTACTTTAAAAAAATGAAGTTGTTCATTTTTCATTGTTATCTATATCTTCTGATAATGCTATAAAAATTTTATTTGAAGATTTTGATTTTTAAAATAATGTAATGCATTCATATGTAGAAAGCTCTTAAAGATTTTCAGCAAGTTTAATTTACATAATTTCAACTTCAAGTTCTGTAAGTATAAATAAATTAACTAGTTATCAAAATGCATTTACTAATTCTACTAATCCTTTCATTTACTTAAATTCTTAAGAAATAATTCTAAAAAATTTTAATATTAAAAATCATAATTCTTTAAATCAAGAAGTTTGGTAATCTAATTATGATATTTAATTAGATAGGTAATTAAATTAAGAAGATATAAATTAATTAATATTTTCAACTTATTAAATTAATAATATTGGAGGAGTTGCATAAATAATAGCTTCGAAAATTTTATGCTTAAATTCTACTTTTGATTAAATTATAGCAAGCAAAGGTTCAATTTTTGATATTGTTACATTAGATTCAGGAATTGTTATTATTTCAAATATATAAATATCATCTACAAGAAATTATCTAAAACAGGCAATTGATACTTCAGGTTGTCTTAATATAAATTCATAAAATAGTTATTTACATTTAGAAATTAGAAATTCAAATTTTTATTTAATATTTAATAGAATATCATCTTCAATATTATCTATTAATCCCTCAATATTTAGAAATTCTATTATTTTGGTAGAAATTCAAATTCTAGATTGTATTTCTTTGTTTAATTCATTCATAAAAGGTTAATTTTCAAAATCTATAGCAGATCTTAATTATGTAAAAATTTCTAAAGTAAATGTAATACAAAACAAAGCAGTATTTTAAGATTATATGTAATTAATTGAAAGTTTATCTTAAGCAGAGATTAAAGATATTTCAAGTGAAACTAGAGGATTTATTTATTTAGAAAATTGTAAAGTATTAATAGAAGAATGTTTTATAGAGGGTTTATAATTAGGATCAATATTATAAGTAATTAATTCTCCTAAGTTAAATATACACAATTTAATTTTAGATAATATATTTGTTCTTTATTCTTTGAATCTTATTGTAATATAATAAAATTTAGAAAAAAAATAGTCAGTTTTAATCAATTCTCTGTTTATCAGAAAATCAAGAATTTTTAATTTAGAATAACCTTTAAAATAAAAAATGAAATTTTACTTTTAATATTTTATAGAAGAATGTAAATATAGTTAAAGTCAAATATCAATTAAAGAAGATATAGATTATTTTTTTAATAATGCCATTTTATTACAATAAGAAAATAATGAAACATCTGCTTTATTATACTTTTAGAGTATATCACATTAAAATCAAATTTAATTAACAAATATCTAATTATCATAAAATAATTGTTCAAATTGTATAAATGGAATGATATTTTTTGATTTAGATAATTTTGCTCATTTAAATGTTGAAAATTTAATTTGTGATTCTAATCTAATTCATAAATATGGATGTTTATTAGCTTAATCAAAAAAATTTATTTCTTCTAAAATGATTATATAAAATTCTAATTTCATCTATAATTATGGAAATATAGGTAATGCAGCTATGATTTTAAATATCTAATTAATCATAAAGGGTTGCAAAATTATTTATAATAATGCATCTGAATCTGGTGGAGGTTTATATTTGAAATTAAATTCAAATTAATTTCTTATTAAAAATACAATAATTACTAATAATTTAGCTAAATTTGGAGGAGGTATTTATTTGAATGGAGACAGTAATTTAATTAAATTAAATTTTATTTAATCATTTTTGAATTATAATTAAGCAACATAATATGCAAATAATCTTATTGAAATTCCAACACATTTGACTGTAACAATTAATTCTTTGGAATAACCATTTTATATAGAAAAAATAAAAAATTCTACTGTTTCAATTTTAAATTTAAAACCTTATAAGGTTATTGAATAAGGTAAATTAAAAATATCTGAATAGCTTATGTTACCAAGCAATTAAAAAATTTTAGATTATTAAATATTTCTTATTCAAAAAAAGATGTATATTTCATACATTAATTCATTTGAATTAAATTTCAAAAATAGCAAAAATGAAAAATTGATTAATTGGATTGATTCTTCTTGTTAAATAAATGAAATTATTAATGCTAAAAATTAGAGTTTAATTGAAAATTAAAATGTAAAAACAATAATGTATAATAATACTGAAAATAAAATAAATTTAGGATAATTATAATTTAGTTTTAATCCTTATGAATCTTCTTATAATTACCTATAAATTTAAATATCTTGTTTATCAGAGTTTTCTAAAAATAAGATTAGTTACTTAATTAAAACAAATAGTTTTAAATGTTAAATTGGTGAATTTTTTGTAGATTCAGGATGTTAAATCTGTTAATCAAATTAAGGCTATTATTCTGTAATATATGATTCACTTAAATGTTCAATCTTTGATAAATAAAAATTTTCAAATATAACTTCAAATATGATAAAATTATTAGAAGGTACTTGGAGACCTAATTACTTATCGGACTATACAGAATTTTGCTTAAAAAATAAATAATTTTGTAAAGGAGGATGGGAAGTAGGAAATAATTTATGCACTAATGGACATATTGGAGCATTATGTGAAGAATGTGATATCTATAACATTAGAGGAAATGGATAGTATTTTAAAAATTTATGGGATTTAGATTGTTATGAATGTTTTGGAAATGATAGTAGTATTTTTCCATTTATTTTTTCTATAATATAGTAAATATATTGATAAATATTGTAGAGTATTATTATCAATTACATTAACTTTGAAAAGTATTGATAGATCAAATTAATTATTTAAATCATTGAAAATGTTTTAAAAATAAAGCAAAATTTTATATAAACTAAATTAAGGTAATCTATATATATATATAAAATTTAGATCACGAAAGTATTCTAATTAAAATGTTATTAAACTATTTGTGGATATTTTCTGTTATATTTTCTTTTAACATTACTTTTTAATTTTAATTTCATCTTATTACAACAACAAGTAATAGTTTTTACATTATGGCAAATAATTTAGATTGTTATTTATTAGATTTTGGAATTAAATTATTGTATTTGAGAATTTTTTTAATCTTTTTTTTAGTTCTATTGTAATTTCAATTAATTTTAATTGGATTGTTTATTTATTCTTAGTTAATAAAGTAATAGATGGATAATAGCTTACTTTCAAATACTTTACTTTATTTATTTGTTTTTAATTATGGAGGATTAATAAGAATGTATTAATTAAAATAAATATTTTTTTAAGGTTTTGTTCAGCCCTTTCAGCTAGAAATATTTCTAATATCAATTATGTTTAAGGTGATGTTTCTTTAGAATTTGAAACAAATGATCATCAAACATGGATTTATATATTTATTATTCCAGGATTAATACTTTTTGGAGTTTTATTACCTTTATGTCTTTCTTTATTTATGTATTTTAATAGATTTTAGCTTGATTAAATTAAACTTAGAAAACATATATGTTACTTATTTAATGAATATAGTAATAATACTTATTTTTGGGAATATATTAAATTAGCAAAAAAAGCAATCATTATTTTAATAACGACTTATTTTGAATCTTCTATACTTTTAAAATCTTCTCTTTTAGGATTTTGTTTACTAATCTATTAATAATTGACATTTACAAATAAACCATATCATATATCTAAATACAATAATTTAGATTTATTAGCAGGATAAATTTGTTCCTTATCAATTTTTCTTGCTACTACTAAATATGTTAGTGAAGATGCTAATAATTAATTTGTATCTGTACTACTCTCAATTGTTATAATTATTCTATGTCTAAAATTATTATATCCATTCATAATTAATATTGCAAAAGTTTACTACAAAAAATATAAGTTTTAACTTCTTAAATTATTCTTAAAGATCTTAATTTTTATTAATAAAAGATCTATAGTTGCTATGAAATTAAGATATTACATTGATTTTCAACAAAATAAAGAATAATAATTAAGAAAGAATTATAAAATACTTTAAAATCATTTTACAAATAAAAAAATTTATTTAAAATTTTAACCATATCATAGATAAATTTCAACTTATTCAAGTCTAGATTAAATCAAGACTATGCAACCAAAAAGTCTTACTAGTGCTTAAAACGAGAAGAAATGAAAATTAAAGTTTTTAATTTAATATTAAGAAATATTTAATTGTATATTTTTAATCCTAATTTTCATTTAAATGAAAATGGTTAAGTATTAACATTTATATACATTTTTTTTCTATTTTTTGGTTCTATGAATTGATTTTTTGCTATAATTAAAAAAAAGCTTATTAATTCTGTAAATTTTCAATCCCTATTCTCATTTCATTCTGCTACTATAATTAATCTTTTTCATTTATATCTCTAACTTGATTTTCTTATGTATAAATTTAATTAATAATATAATCTTATTTATATTAAAATATAATAAAATATTTAAAAAGTTCAAACTTAAATTGTAATTTTCAATAAATCAACCAAATCATAATCAACATTGAAGAAATTTATATTGAGTAAAGGATAGGAATCTTAGACATAATTGAATTCAAATAAACATTAAATATTTCAAATAATAATTAAGTTTTCTAAATTAACTTGAAACATATTTTACTGAATGATTTCATTAAGTTTAAATTTGAAAAAAAAATAAATAATAATTAAGAAATTTAAGAAAAACCAAATAATAATTTTACAGAACTTTTTTCATATTTATCTTTGTGTCTTAATTATATAACTAAACTTTTCTCAAAAAAAATTTAAGGAGATTATTATAGAATCAAATTTAGTTCTAATGCATAATAAAAAAGAACAAACATTAATTTTATGCTTTTTATCCTCAATTTGGTGAATAACAATACAAATCTTAGAATTAAACTCAATGGGGAATTTATTACTTGAGTTAAAATATTTATTTAATATAAAGCCAATATACAAATATAATAGAATATAAAAATAAGATTTCATAATGTTTTTAAACAATTGATGATTGTTTTTAATTTCATTTATATTAAATAAATTTATACTTAAAATACTTATAATGTATTAAATTTATTTATTTATTTTTAATATTTTAGTAATTATGTATAAGATACTCAATAAAAGAAGGATTGTTGAAAAATTATACCAAAAGTATAGAAATAGTTCTAAGTGGTTCTTTTTTTTCTAATAATCTGATCAATAATATGACTTAGAAATAAAATTCATATCTAAAAATTAATATTGAGCATTTTAAAAATAAAAAAGTTCTTAAATAGATTAATTTTTATTCCTCTGTTATTATTTTTTAATAATTCAACTTTCCATAGAGATAATAGAATTCTTCGGACTTTATAAATTTATCTGTATTTCTATTAAATTTGTTCACATTTATTCTATCATTTTGTAAAAAAATAAATTCTCAATCTTGGACACATTTTACAACTTTTTCCTTAAATTTATATTATAATGAAGCTCTACATCAATATAATATACTTAGTAAATTTTAAAATTTATAAATCTTATCTAATTAAGTTTATTTAATAAACCATTCATTTTACTTTACCCTAATTTATTTAAGGAGATCATTTCTGTTACTTGATATTATTAGATCTTAATTATATTTAGTTTTAATTATTTATAAAAACCTAGTAATTAGCCATATTTTTCACAAAATATAAAGTAAACAAAAAATTTATGAGTTTAGATGATCTCTTAATGAAATTTAAAGTAAATTTGAAATCCCCAAAAGCTATTCCTTAACTTAATCTGTATTTAATTAAATGTTCTGAAAGATGGTTTTTTTTTACGATTAGATTAGGAAAATAAGGTTAAGGTTTTGTAATATTTCAATTAAAATCTTTTATTAATTTTCTAGTGCATTTATAAATAGAGTGTTTTTTTGAATTCATATTCTAAAAACATTCTTTTCTTGCCACCAGATAGATTAGTTGTTTTATTGATTGGTGTCAAATAGTTATCATTATTTATAATAATGTTTATGTTATTATACGATCATCTTATATTCGTAACATATTTAATTGTGGATATAAATTCACAAAAATAAATCTGTATTATTATTAAAATAACAAATTAAATTAAAATGTGAAAGGAAATTTTATTAAATTTAAATTATGAAAAGGAAATATTTGTTTATTACTTTTCTGGAACTAATATTCTTCATAAAAATTTTGTTTTTTGATTTTATTTAATTTTTCGCAATTGATTTAATAAAGATAAAAGAGATATTTCATTTGAATATATACTTTTTTAAATACATTTTAATAAGATTTTTATACATTTTTATGTGATTTATGAATTTTCAAAATAGATTGTTTTTACTTTTTTATTTGTTGTACTTTTTTAATAGATTTCTATACATTTTAATTGATTTTTATGTATTTGTTATAGAGTTAAGATTTATATACATTTTATATATATTTTTCAATAGATTCATATGTTTTTACATTTGTATACTATTTGAAAACATTTTTAATTCATTTTTCATAATGGAATTCTCTACATTTTTAATAGATTTTAAGACATTTGTATGAATTTTCTATATAATAATATTCCCTTTGTTTTGTTTTAATATATTGTTTGACCTAAATTGATTTTTTGAAATTTCCCTTTGTTTTTTACCATAAAAAATAGAACAATCATAAGGAAATAATGCGATTTCAACGAACTTTTTATAATTCCTGATCTACCCTTTTGATTTATAAACATTTTTAATATGTTTGTATACTTTTTATGTATTTTTATCCATTTATAAATTATTTGTATACATTTTTTATAGTTTTTTAATAGCTTTTTTAATATAATCATATACTTTTTTAATATAATTGTTTATCATTTAATAAATTTGTACATTAATTCATACATTTTCAATATAGAATGGTAAATTTTATATACATTTATATAAATTTTTATACTTTTTAAT